AGGAGGAGAGAGAGAGAGAGAGAGAGAGAGAGAGAGAGAGAGAGTAGCAGCACGGCTGCTGCACTCAACAAAGGGGATCCCGGTGCTTCATCACCATACCCCTACCTAAAAGGTTCTACACCATCTGCGTCACACTTGTACGTACGGCTAATGTATCCAAACCATGTCCGTAGACCCACGAACATGCAGTACCCCGTATGTCACGGTACACCCCGCTCCACCTTCGCTGCTTCCGTCCGCGTTGTCTGCGGGACTCCGAAGACACATGGCTCGAGGTTCGTAGATGTATGCTCTGCCTCGAACGTCTTGAGGTCGTCCTTCAGCCAGATTTGCCTCGTCTTGAGGGGCGTGTACTCATCTAAGTGCACCCGGCAGCCGTTAGACCATTTGCCTCGAGTCCCTCTACAAGGCCGGGACGGAGCGATATGCCGGGGTTTCCCCGGCTCAGGCCACGTTTCACAAGGGTGAACCCGAAGCTTCTGGTCATTAATTATTCTTGCGATTGCTGTACGGGAAGGGAGGGGGGGGATAACGGTGGACGGAACGGGTATATCTTCAGCTTTGTCTTCCTCAAATCACAGGCGAATTCCCTTAGCTTTGGAGGCACCGCATGAAAAGCCTTGTTCGCTTGTCAAACTCCTGAGAATGGTCGTCATCGGAGTTGCTTCGATGACACTTCTTTGGACTCGCGGACAGTATTTTTTTCCTTGTGCGGAGAGCTCTCTCGGGTGTATCAATGTGAAAGAGAGAAGGACAGAAATTCGTTGTATCTACTTCCCAATCGAATATTTTACCCCATCAAATAGTCAGGTATTCGATGATGAAGATAATCGCCGAAATGACTAGGTTTGATCCCATACAATGCAAAAACGTCTCCTGTATCGAAAAAACCCGAAAAAACATTCATCATCGAGGGGGTGCGGATACTGCCGATAGATCGTTCCTACTGGGACAAAACGTAGACCGAAAAGGTTGGAGCTGGCTGTCGACGGCAACACCTACGAAAATATCCCACGTTATGGCAAAGCTCTACAGCACTCCGATTGGTTCCGAAAATAGGTCTTCCCGTCCTCCGACAGATTAATGTCTTTGCGAGCGATGGAGTGTTCTCTTGCCCTTGGTGTTATCTTTTTCCTAGTTGTTCGAGCAAGGACCACCGAAGGTTTCCGTATTGTTGAGCAATCGGGAATAGGGGTTACAGGCTGAGAAGCGCA